AACAGATGATATATGCCGGCGATTCTATATTTGCAAGAGCAAATGTGACACCCTATGCTCATTCTGTGTGGTCCCCATCTAGGATTTCTCTCGTACTTCATCGCGCTTTTTCATCCTTTCATCCATTGCCTAGGGTCTCACGTCCGCGCAACAGTGTCTTCCCTCTTCGAATACTCGTCCAATCATAACGTCCTGTTTTCCAACATTCTTTCCCACTCGCTTATTCACTGTTAAGGCAATTAGCAACTGCCAAGCTGGAACCTCGCAGTCAACCAATTGTTATCGCAGAATGGTGCTAAATAGAGTTCCCGGCCTGGTAGTCATTGCATCAACTGAGAACGTATGTTCAGGCGACAATACACGCTCGTAACTCTTTATTCGTTACCTACCAGAGAGATTATCACGGTCATTACTAGAGGTATATAGTGTGAGAGTCATTATGTGAGTACGGTTATAAAGCATAATAAATATTTCAATAATATGTACAGCATATATACAAATTAGTCGTCGTCTTCACTCAGCCCCATTTTTAATGCTTTAAATCCTGTAGGCATTGCAAATTCGGCTATTTGCTTATCGTCGGACTCGATTGATATCTTTATGAAGTACTCTCCCTGAAACATTTTTTCAAATTTTTCATTAATTTGATTTGAAATAAATAAATTAACTTCTTCTGGTTTTAGAATGTAACGGACAGATCCCAAACGACCACTGAATAGCGAACACTCTTCGAGAAAAAACAAAAGTTTCACGAGTTCCTACCAACTTATCCAAGTGGCATTTCCGCGCTGGCCAAATGGAAAAACTTCAACATGGTGCTCACTTTTAGCAAGTCTAGCAGTGTTATTCCAAGGAATGAAGGCGATGGCGGCAGTTCGAGCGTTGAATTGAACTTGAGCTTGTCTTGCATTTCTGTAAACAAAAGATAGTATAAAGAAGTACTGGGCATCGAGATTGGTGTGTATTAATAAACGGTAAGTCACATTCATTAATCGCGTACATACAGGGGGGGGGGGGCAAATGAAAAGTCAGCTTCGACCGATCACATCTCAGCAAAAGTTTTCTGACCAGACAGAGGACGTGGATACGAGTACCAGGGCGGAAGATACCAAGTTGTTCCTCGATAAGCAGGAGCTGGCTCTTTGCCCATCAACTTCATGTACACCAAAATATGAAGTCATCTCCAGTCGCAGCCTGACTGGAGAAGACCTTTAAAATCAATGTCATCCTCCAAACAGCTGCGAAAATTTCTAGTATTCATCCATGGATAGCTATTAGAGACTAGTACTTCCACTGTCGGAAGACCCGCAACATTTCGAAAAGGCCCGGCCGCCCCTTCGAAACGTCGCTGGTCTAGGACATCATCTTCGCTGGCAGTCGCCAAGAGGCGGGTGATGGTATGGACCTGAGTACCTGGAATGGAAAGACCGATATTTTCTTCGTGAACCCGGACTGAAGGTGAGCGCTGGCGGTTACATCAAGCAACTCGAGAATAATCCTCCCTACATGTCGTCACCCGTACCTTCTTGGAAACTTTGTACTGCTACAGGATTGGGCGACACCACGTGGATTCGAAGGGCGTTGGAAAAACTCTCGCCACTTGGAATGGAAGGACGTTGAGTACCCGAAGAAGATGGAATATCTAAGTAGTTCGGGCTTAGCTCAACAGAGCGGTCTACAGTGGCGGAGAAATCAACTATCTCGCTGAACTCAGGTACCCACTCACGGTCGCGTGGCAGAATCTCTTGATGCGCCCTCCAGAAGGCTGTAGCAGAGTATCAATGATAGTATTTAATATGCTCTTTAGTATGGTGGTAGGAAATGTCCGATCATAGTCCGATAAAGTGTATCTTATAGGGCCTCGAAGGTCAAGGAAGAAAAGTGACTTTTTTTGCCCCCTCCCTCCGGTAGTTTGGGATCCATACAGATATCCTGAAAGTTATCAATTCCGTAAGACTTTGTTCATACTTTGGGGACGCAAGAGCGTCCTGCGATTAGCGGCGATTCGAGCGTCCCTCAGCGTCAGCGAATAGGAAAGTATAGATAGATACTTTCCTATTCGCTGACGCTGACGGACGCTGACGATAGAGATATCGATCTATCATCTACCAGCGTCCATCAGCTCTACCAGCGTATACCAACGGCCAGCAGTCTGGGAGTATAGACTATAGGAGAGTATCAGACAGCTGGTTGAGGCCAATGGGATATAGGAGGGTAGCAGAATGCTGTAGACCGTATGGAGTGGATGGAGGGTACGCGACCCTGCCTACCCTCCCTATCGCCTCATATTCTCGACAGCATCTGTCTATCTCCTATCTCCCTGATATCTAGGCAGAGTACAACTACCGTCCGTATATCCCGTATTCTACCTAGTGTCTGCACTCTCCTATCGTTCCACTCACTCCACCAGCAGTCTGCTACACTCCTATCTTCCCTATTTTACAGCTGTCTGCCACTCTCCTATTGTCCCACCCTCTCCAACAGCAGTCTGCTGCCCTCCTATCGCCCCATACTCTCCACTCGTAGACGCTGCTGGTCGCTGCCGCAAAGAACGCGGGTATGTGACAAGAGAATCGTAATTCGCCGCGCTGGTGGACGCCGCGTGCGACGTCGCGCCAGCAAACGACGATGGTCGGAGTGATCTACAATTCTCGTGCAAATCCGATCAACGACGACAGCGGCAACAGGTAATTCAGAACCGAAAGTAGCCATAAATTTCTACCATAACAGTGTCTACACGAAGTCCGGTGCTCTAATGGACAGGTTAACACGCGTTAAGAAAACACTGCGCCCATCACCGCGCGCGAAAGAGCGGCAAATTATGATACTCTTGCCCGTCTCCCAAAAGAACGCAGCCTAAAGGTTCAGCATGCGATGCGCACACTAGTGCACATTGGCTAAACAGAGAATCTTAAAGTCATAGGCAAACACGCATCTATATTTTTTCAACCAAGTATTGGGAGTACCCGTACAGTTAATTCGAGGCATTTGGTTATGACTTGGAAAACTACTCATTCTTGCGTTATGGCTCCCCAGAGAAGACTTGTTGACTCACCGGATAGCGTATGATTTCCTTTCTTCTGCAAAATACGACACATATCTTCCGGAATGACTGTTTTAATGTCAAACTTGCTGTAATCAACAATAGATTTAGCTCGGGACCTTTCAATATTTAATTAATAGTCGACATAAATACCACATCTTCCTGGATAATATCAATACCACTTTCACCGTTATGACAGATCTTGGTGCTGCCAAGGTGGACTGTGGCGCGTACGAGATTTGATTCAAAGAGATCATAATCCTTCGGCGTTATGACTTCGCCTAAACGACTTTGTGCAGCGAAGTTGCAAGTGTCTTCCCATATGTCCAAGGCTACCCTAATAGTTTAATATACAGGGTGACCAAAAAGTTCTGGCAATTTTTCGAAATACTTTGGAATTATAGAAAAACCATTTAATTAACTTAATCAGCGGAACTAAACTTTCGGAAATCTTCACTGAATCAGTAGCAATAACGGTGTACAGAGAAATCACAACATGTATTCAAAATCGCATCCTTGACCTCAATACATTTGCTCAGTCGCTTTTCGAAGTGTCCAACAATGGTCGCGCATTCTTCTACTGTAATTTCGTCACAAGCATGCAGTAATGCTGCTTTCAAATGATCCACCGTCACGCAATTGAATTCCTGGGATGTTTCTGGCTCCAAGATAGACAAAAGCGGAGCAATCCGTCGGTCAGATCCCGGCGAGTTGGACGATAAGTGTCCTCGCCCCCAAAATCCGCGGAAGCAGGCTCTTCCAGGTGGATTGGCAGACTGTTAGCTGACGCTCAGTTTTGGCTGAAGGCACTAATCCATCTGAACCAAAGTGCTGCGACGTCCATGGCTTCAGTACATCGCGAAGAACGCACTGTTGATAGTTAGCAGCATTGATTTTAAGGTTACGGTCGATGAAGACGAGTGGAGGTTTTCCGGTGACACAGATCCCAGCCGGCAGACCATGATAGGACTGGAAAATCCTAGCTGGCGACGGGTTCGCTGCCGTTGTCTTCTGCTGACCCTTCTTGAGTAGTACAGACAATTCTGGTGGTTGTGTACAGGCTCGATCGTGGGAATTTTTCGTCGGTGAAGAGCACATTTTTCAAGCGACCAGCACCGACCAGACGACGCATCCTGCGAGCTTCGATCTGGGAAGCAAAGGA